ATAATAAATTATACTACTACTACTACTACTACTACTACTACTACTACTACTACTACTACTACTACTACTACTACTACGGTTGAGACGGTTGAGTAGAACACGCAACACCGTCTCACACCTTGCATCGAAGACCTACTGAGTGAGGAACAGGCTAGGTTTCGAGCAGGCCGTAGTACTGTGGATCAGATATTCAACATCCGTACACTGGCAGAGCGTTATGGTGACCATCAGAGACCCATCTATAACAATTTCATCGATTTTCGCAAGGCAATTGACAGAGTGTGGCACGCAGCCCTGTGGAAGATAATGCACAAGTGTGGGCTTAGCCCGAATATCACACTGATCGAGTCCCTGTACCAGCAGTCCGAGAATGCTGTACGAGTAGGAACAACGGTTAGCAGTTGGTTCCATGCCACCGTTGGCGTTAGGCAAGGTTGCATTCTATCACCCTCTCTATTCAACATTTTCTTGGAAGAACTGGTATTTTTTTCTTTTTTTTCTACAAAATCCACATATCTCCCGACACTGGGGTGAATGATGGAGTGTGGTGGTGGGGCCCATTAAGCTGAGAATCTAGGTCATTAGAGGGATTCGCGGGTTCCATTAGCATTGGTGGACGCATTATAACAGACCTGCGATTTGCAGTTGACATTGATCTGGTGGCTGGCAGCGAGGAAGAACTGCAAGACCTTACTGGCCGGCTGGCCAGCACATCAAAATCATACGGCATGGAAATCAGCACTGAGAAGAGTAAGCTACTGGTAATGGGAGCAAGCGGGGGTCTGTCCGCAAGCATAGCCATCGACGGGAAGCAGCTCGAGCAGGTTGGCGAGTTTAAGTATCTGGGTAGCACGATTACTGATGATCAGCGTTCAATCAAAGAAGTGAGGAGTCGGATCGCAGCAGCCTCGGCTGCTGTTGCACGACTAGTAACAATCTGGAGGGATAGAAATATCAGTATCGGCTCGAAATTACGTCTACTCAATGCTATTGTTTTATCCATATTCCTTTATGCTAGCCAGTCTTGGACCTTAACTGCTGAAATTGTGAAAAAGATCGAGGCTTTCGAAATGAGAAGCTATCGACGTCTTCTCAGGATTCCGTTCACTGATCACCGGACAAATGTGTCTGTTAGAGAGGAAATAAATAGTATTCACCAACAAGTCCCACTAATTGTTTCTGTTCGTAGAAGGAAATTGCAATTTTTTGGTCATATTGTTCGTTCCGGCTGTTTGTCATTGACTGTTCTTCAGGGTTGTGTTGCTGGAGGTCGTGGCCGAGGCAGGCCTAGAATGTCATGGCTTGATAATATTATTTCATGGACTGCACTTGACGTGCAGTCCTTGCTAGCTGCCGCACGCGATAGATTTTTATGGCGCTCGCTTGTTCATACTTGCTCTGTGACGCCCCGACGGCCTTAGGGCTATGGGCTTATGATGATGACTACTACTTTACTACTGCTGCTGCTGCTGCTGCTGCTGCTGCTGCTGCTGCTGCTGCTGCTGCTGCTGCTACTACTACTACTACTACAGTTTCACTGGAACGGTGCTCCGGCTGTAAACATACATCGGTGAATACCCTTCGCTGGATTTGGATCAATTGGACGGACCTAGCTAATTTTATCTGTTTCAGAAATAGTCCTTGCACCTGTTTCATTAGTCAGTCCCTACTATGCATCATCATGCCAAATCTGTCCCTCCAGGAAATCGCGATTCCACGGATGCAACAAATTTCGCGATTTTGGCCCAAACCCGCGATTTTCAGCAAAATCCGCGATTTCCCGCTTTTTTGGGTGTTTTCTACACTATATCTCACATGTTTCATGCACTTTTCACACAGTGCTTTCCATGATCCTGTAGGTTATTTGCACAGTATGACTCGTACTACTCCGGAGTAGATAAACGATGCAACAAATTTCGAGATTTGGCCCAAATCCGCAATTTTCTGCAAATAATTCCGCGGATTCCTGGCAAGTTCTACATCATTCCGCACTTTTCGTCGCATTTGTTGTTGTTTTCTGCCGCAATTTCTTGCGCAAGTTTTCGAGAGTTTTTTCCGCAAATTCCCGCAGGGA